CACGGATATACTGATTGGACCAACTGACGATTCAGCAGCTGCTACCTCTTCGGTTGCCGAAGAAGAAGGGTCACCATTCTGACGCTTTTAGGGAGAGACATATTGACGGACGTTACTGCCAGAAAAGAAGCAGCTTTTGCGATCGTTTCCAAGGAAACTAAAGACATTAGCGTGTAAGGAAGACCATAATAAACGGCTCGTTCTCGATCAACTGGTTCCGTCTCGTTCTCGCGCGGACATTTTCTTGTGGGCACCAGTTCAAGTACAAAATGGATTACGTGCATGGAGTACAAAATATTACAGTCATAATGTGGTGTTAAATAAAATTATGTGTTGATTTGTTTGAAGGTTGCTCTTTAAAAAATGATTATAGTTAGTTTTGTATTTTTCTTACTTAGTTTTGGACAAGAAAATAAGGTGCCCAGTTTTCAATGCAAGTTAGTTACTGTTATCAAATTCTAAATTATGTAATATTCTCTTACGTAAATAATCTACTACTAAATATATACCTATTAAGCTTAAAGAAATTTTAAATGTAAATTGTTAGTTTTAAATGCAAGTCGTTCGCATATTTAAATTCTGTATAATGGCTTCGTTTTTTTCAGGCAAATTGCTATCGTTATAATTGCTTACTATTATACTATCGTAACAAATCGACTTTTCATACACTACAGTTTAAATAAATTACAAAAAAAAGATTGAAAATTGACTTTGCATCAGAGAACATTTTTCGCCATTCTTCCGAGCACGTTTTACAATAGTTCGTTTCTTTCATTTTTCTCTTTCGTTCAAGATATTTCAAAGTGACCGTCATATAGGTGCAATAAAATGGTAACTATGTCTGTCCATTCATTCGAATCCTTTCCTCGAAAGAATTCCACGTCGCTTGCTTCTTCGAAGATACGAATCCCTACAGTGTTATATCTTAAAATTTTAGCTATGGTTCGGCCCTCTTTTATTGCCTTTTTTATCTTTTTTCGGTTCAGTTTTCGTCTACGATTCTCCTCGGTACCAGTTCGTTTCTATTCTGCGGTCCGGTAGGAAGTTTGATGCTCAACAGTCACGATTTTTTACGCTAAAAGTGTCAAATATTTGTGTTACGCTTTTCAACTCTCCTTTGCGAGGTCGGTGATATTTCTGCTACTTATAACAATTTCATATGGACAAAGAATTGAATTTGTGAGTCTTTGATAAAGATTTTTGAATAGTAAGGATAAGTGATGTGATGAATAAATCTTTAATACATCTTTACGATTAGAAGATTAATGTTTAAAATTATTTTTGAGAAGTTCGTTGAAATTCGTATTAAAGACATATCTATATAGTAAAATAGTGGTATTGATTTAGTAGGAGGAGCCATTGTCACTTGTAATGTCAAACTGAAAATTGAAAATTGATTTCCATCGAACGACATACGTAAAAATGCATGAAATACTGTAGACGGTGGTGTAATTGTTGTGAATCATTCAAAGCTGTTTTCTATCTATTTTACTAAGTCAGAACTGAAAAATGCTTCCAGGAAAAGTCATACTTTTTAATTGAAAAATGCAGGTTCCAAGCAACGCAAGAAACAGATCAAAGTTTCAAATAATTAGAATGAAATGAAACCTAACAAATACAACGAGCTGATAACCGTGTTACAAAATGGGATGTGAGATTGTTAAAATCAAAATTAAATACTAATTACCATATAAATTAGCAAGCAAAAATTAATAAAACACTGTATGCAAAGTAACAAAATTTTCAGAACAAAGACTTACCGTAGAAATTATTAACATGTGATAAACGCCAAATTATTAAACACAGCATTTAGACTTGAAGTCAAATAGTAAAATAACCTGAAAAGCTACCAATATTCAGTGTATTATTATTTGTAATTTGATATAGTTAAAATTAACAAATTTTTAAAGAATATTACTTCGAAAAAATATATGGAAAAGCAAGAGGATGAAATCTCGCGTTGCGCCATTTCGGACCAGGGTGAAATTATCGAATTTCTCATAGGGGTTGCATCTCTCCCGCCTCTGGACCAACATGGCTGCTCCAGTAACCATGGTAACACCATCTGACCATGATATAAACCCTCGTGAACCCCTTGCATCGGTAATAGAAGGGGCGGTACGAAAATGGGGTGAAACTGCGAAGGGTGCGCTTGATATAACGACGAAATACCTCTTGGCCATGCGTCAGCCATTAAAATCCGGATCACGTATTACTTATTAATTTTCATCAAATTTTAGACCATAACTAATCCAGAAACAATCCCAAGAATCTCGTAAACTGTTAATACTGTAAATAGTACAATACTGAATAATATAAGACATACAAAATGTAACTTAATGTGACAAAAATAGCACTTATGAAGGCTTCAAAATGAAGATTAAAATTTGTTACATAAGTATGTAAACGTTCTATGTTCTTATTACAAAGTGGTGGTTATTAATTGGATCAAATACTGACAAGTTTCAAGAGTCTAACACGATTTGATGACGCAAAAATTCGACAAGAAAGAACAAAAATATTGACTGTCAATTATATGTCAATGACAATGACAAATTTCGTAACATTTCATTTAATGTTCTTAATACAAAATGGTTGATTGCAAATTAATACTGACTTTCAAAACATATAAAGTCTGACACCGCTTCATGGCGTAAAAATACAAAATTGCACTTATAGTACATCAAATTCAATCTAAAAATTTGATAATTATATATACCTTTCATTCATGATATTAATTTAAAATGACTAAATTGCTATTGACAAGAAGCAATAATCGATTTCAAAGTATAAGAATTTTGATAAAATTTGATAACACGAAAGTGCCTTAAAATCAATTTGAATCTAAGATAAGAATAAATTTGACAAAAATAGATATGCATTATCTTACAGTACTTTCATCCGCGTGAAACTGTATGCCCATAGTACTTCCATCAAACTGCACAAACTATTAATATTTTAAAATCAAACATTTCGTATAAAAGCTTTCAGGATTTCATATACGAACAAAAAGAAACGAATAGTAATTTTCGAAATGGACACGATGAAAGCGTACATCTCCCGTCAGTTCGATAGACTATCCAGCAAATGGATCAGGAAGATGAATAACGTTTTCCGCGCGAGTGTTCAGAGGGGATGACGGAAAAACGAGTTTCTATATAGCCAGGAATTTGCAATAGAACCGAGTTTATTGGACAATAAAGGCAAAACAGCGAACATTGCGTTTTTCAAATGGTAAAAGCAGCCTGGTGACTAGATAAAAATTCCCAAGTGGTACCGTAAAATGTACCTACCCACAACACCCTTCATAAATAAATTCTGGATTCTCGGAGAGGCCTGTAAACACCGGTCCATCATTGCGATACTAAAATTATAAATCGACAATCAGGATGCTGTATCACGTAACGTGGCCACGAACGTGCAGCAACTTCAATTTTAGATACCAGATTTCGTTCTAAAAAAAATATAAAAGAAGAACCTTAGTCTTAGATCTTAGTGAGTTTCTTTCGTTAGATCTGCATTTACATGTTAGTTTCAAAATAGTTATTGTTAGAACTACTCTAATTAGCTATGTAGAAATTCCTATTAATTATGTGGAAATTCTTAATGCATATTTTATGTGGCAGAAACTTCCTGAAAATTGCATAAAATTTCACGAGTGTCAAAGAATATTGAATCACAAGTTATGAGAAGAACTGCAAACATCGATATAATGCGATAGTTGAGAATTAGAAGATTAGAAGTTTGAGAATTTATGAATTCAGAAATTTGGAAATTTGTCATTGAAAAATTGAAAGTATTGGAATTTGGAAATTCGGAAATCTGAGAACTAAAAATTGGAAATTAAAAAATTGAAAACTAGAAGAAGATAAACAAGTTTATTATAACTTTTATGAACATTCATACACTTATAAAGGTCCGATACATTCAACTGCAAATCGACCTTCAACCCTCCACCCGTTATTAAAAAATGTAACCATAAATCAAGATGAAAAAAACCATCATATTTGCAACGTAACCATAATTTATTAGGTTACTCTATTTGTAAAAAGGTCATATACATAGATTTTTATATAGAAATATATCTGTGTAACGAATCTATGTAGAACCGGAAGGCTCCCGTTTCTACCGGCTAAAGATATTGGTCGGCAACTACTATAAAGTAGGGTAAAAGTTACGACATGTGGACGAATTGCGTGCGTTTCTTCGGGGGTTGCTACCAAGAAACGGGTGTCCGTCGCAAACCGTAAAACATCCGATGGACCAATGAGAACATCCCCTCGAACGCCCCAAACCTTCGCTTCTCGAAGCCCGCTCGTTCCGAACGTAATGGCCGAGCATCTCGCAGCTGATATACTTCAACGACTTTCATCAAATGTTAAGTTGCCTTAAATTAATCTCGTAAAACGCGATCGCAACGAGAGATGGACAAAGGCAGGTTCGTTAGACAGTGAAATAAAAAGCTTTACAGTTTCGTTGAACCGCAGAAAACAGAAGAGTGACGAAACATGATTTGCCTATATTGTGTCAACAGAATCATATAAGTACATCTGCGATAATTATTATTTGGTTTAACTTATGATAAACTTAGAACGTTCCTATTTTATTTTTATAAAGTTAGGTTTCTGTGTAATGAGAAGCACAAAGAATGACATAGAAAGAAAAGTAGATCTTTGATCTGGAGTGGATTAAATTATTTAGTTTTAGTTTTAGATATTTATTTAAAGAAGCAAACCGATCTTAATCCTTATCTAATTATGCCAATAGTTATGAGTTACGACTAATTGATATACATACATCCTATAATTGTAGATTCATATTCATAATATTATTGCAATAATATAAATAACATTTCTGTAAATATTATATTGTAATAGTTAATATATTTTAAGTGTACAAAACATTAGACTAACAAGTGATAATTATACACATTAGCAACTCAAATTTTCAAAACATCCGTATCGATTACTCGAAATATCGATTACCTTCAAGTTTCTGTTACTGCTAACAGAGGGTGTTCCTTGGCACCCATGGATGTCCATGGATGAATGTATCATTGAATGGGATTTTAAATATACTAAAAAATGTTACTGTCAAGGAGTGCAAGTATTTTGAAAACTGCATGCCAGCTGAATAGGCAGAAAAATATCGCAGGAAATTTACAGCAAGTCCGAAATAAGTATGTTAATACTTCAATTACATAATCTTTATGAAAGAAAGGTTATATTTTTGTAATTTTATATTAATCACTGTACTTTTAATATTTAAGTTTTATTCGGGAATATATATAACAAGTATTTTAATTATGTTTATAGAAGTCAATTATATCTACTTTTTCTTTGTGTGTTTTTCTTTAGAGCAACAAGTCTTCATTTTAAGAATCTGAAATATATAAATTTTTCAGATGGTGTTATCGTACAGTACCTGAACGAAGTCTAACATGGGAAATAGCAGCTGAGGTAGCTGCTGGTCTCGCATGGTTTTGGGTTTTGCATAGTTTTTATTACCATTCGGAGCATTTCCTTGTAAGTAATAGTCACTACTTTTTGTCAATGGTATATTTTATTTAACTCAAAGTCTTGTTTCTGGTTTCAATATTTATGGGTTTTTAGCAAATTCATATATTTAATGCAATACTTCAGCTCAATATTTTCAAATCATCTTGTACATGTTAAGTGCCTAAATCTATAATAGATTATATAATTTACTTTTTATGTATTCAGGGAGAATTTGACTATCCAGATCCAAAGGATTGGACTGATGAAGAGTTAGGAATTCTTCCAGAAGATTGAATGATAAATAGTATTTCCGTGTATGTATGAAATATATCAACACCTTTTTAATTTAAGCATAAAGCCATCCTTATGTTCTGTGAATCTTGTAATTTATCTGATATATCAGTTATAGTTGGCATGTAGATAATTTGTAAAATACTGTTGTAATAAATATTTAAACCAATTTATGTGCTTAAAAATATAAAAAAATTTACTTACAGTATCATCTTATTAAGCGGTCACAGTATTTAAATAATGGTATATTAAGGCTCAGACATAAATACAAGAAAGAGGAATACATTCATCCCTCAATTTAGGAAAAGTATTTATTCCATGGATCTTTCCTTTTTAATTTGTTTGTCTGCTTCAAAGATCTAACTTTTAAATACAAAGTTGCCTTATCAATGTTTTCTTATGTAAATATATATGCTTTTATCTTTATCTCATACAATAGTAACACGTTTTGACATCGTTGAATAAGTTATCGTAAATAGTTACAATTTATCGTGTAAAAAATAAACTCGTCACGTAAATTGAGGAATACAGGTTTGTAAAAATAGGTTGTGAAACTGAAACCAATAAATTATATGAAATGCAATTTATTAAAATATGATTCACGCGAATTTCATGTAAGAAAAGATGTAACAAATGTTTATAGGTGTCCTTAATTACGTGTTGGCACTTTAATTGTTACCGTTTTGGTTTCAACATATTCCTTTATTCCTTCTGCTCCCCTGAAACATAAAAACAGTAACATGTATTTTATTCGTTTAATTAATTTAAGTAATAAGAACTTACAATTCACGACCAATGCCTGACTGTTTAAATCCACCGAACGGAGTTTGAGGTGTGAGTGCATCGTAACAGTTCACCCTATTCAACAATAGTTTTATTTAGTACACTGCTCTACTGTATATATCTATTAAATACGAAATTAATTTTTACCAGACACTTCCTGCTTCCACGGTTTGTGCAAACACCAAAGCTTTATCGATATCTTTAGTAAGGACACCAGCAGCAAGACCATAAGTTGTATTGTTTGCACGTTCAATGACTTCATCCATTGTTTCAAATTTCAAAATTGATTGAACAGGTCCAAATATTTCTTCTTTAGCAATTCTCATATTATCAGTAACATTTGAGAAAACAGTAGGCTTAAATGAGAATTAAAACAGTTATAAATATTTATCATTTATATAACATAATATAGTAAAGAAATTTACCTTAACGAAATAACCAACACTGCCTTCCCGTTCTCCACCAGCTTCTAACACTGCTCCTTCTTCTTTTCCTGACTTAATCAATCCTAACACCTTATCAAACATTTCTTGATTGACTTGTGGACCTTGTTGAGTCTGAGGATCAAAAGGATCGCCAACTTTTATTTTTAGTGCCAGCTGTTTAGCATAATTAACAAACTGATCGTATATTTTAGCGTGTACAAAAGTACGTGAACCAGCACAACAGTTTTGTCCGTGATTTGCAAATATTGCGTTGTGAGCAATTTCAGCTGCTTCCTTAACTAAAAGACATTTATATTTATTAAGTATTTTATATTATGAAATTTAATAATATTTTATAAAATATTTCATAAATATACCATCAACATCATCAAAAACAACTAGAGGACTCTTGCCACCCAACTCAAGGCTAATACGCTTAAGATTACTCTTGCCAGCAGCTTGCATTATTAAACGACCAACCTGTCAGTAAAACAAATCTTTAATATTAGTTCATATACAATTGAAATATTCATTAAATCTAGTACCTCAGTAGATCCAGTAAATGCAACTTTACGAATATCTGGATGTTCAGCAACAGCTGCACCAGCTGTTGGGCCATATCCTGGAATAACATTTACAACTCCAGGAGGAAATCCAGCTTCTTTCGCGAGTGCTGCAGCATAAAGTGCACTCAATGGAGTCTGTTCTGCTGGTTTCAGAACAATAGTACATCCAGCAGCTAGTGCTGGGGCCCATTTCCATGCTAGCATAGCAAAAGGATAATTCCAAGGAATAATTTGACCCACTACTCCAATTGGTTCCTTACGTGTAAATGATAGAAGATTCCCATCTAAATAATAAACAGTTTGTGAAATAAACTTATTAATCTCTTCCAAGTGTTAATCATACCTGCTGGAATAGTATCTCCAAAAATTTTATCACACCAGCCAGCATAATAACGAAATGTGCTTATACTTGATTCTATATCAAACACTGCATTTTCATACGACTTTCCATTGTCTAGGGTTTCAAGAGCAGCAATATATTCCAAATCCCTTGCAACGAGATCTGCAAACTATACACACTAAATTATGTTTTTTGTTCTAAATTGTCTTATGAATGATTTTAAATTATTTAATAATTAATATACTTTATTCATAAGGTTACCACGAGCAGATGCATCCATGTTTCGCCATTTTGATTTTCTGCTAAATGCTTGTTTAGCAGCTGCAACTGCTTTGTCTACATCAGCCTGTATAACATAAGACAAATATTTAAAATAATTTACAAAAAATCTATACTCATAAATATAGTTTACCTTGTCACCCTCAGAAATTTGTGTAATAACAGTACCAGTAGCTGGATTTATAGTAGGAAACTTCTTTCCACTTACTGCATCCACAAATTCATTGTTAATGAATAACTGAAAACATATATTGTAATTTTTTATTTTGCAGTTTATGCAAGGGATGTAATATTTAAAATTTCTAAAAATAATATTTAAGTAATAATAACCAAATAACGGGCACGTTATCTCTAAGAACAGCAGCAAATAAATATATCAGTGTTTTCATTTGCACTATCGCATTAAGATAAAATTAATATGCTCTGTCAGTATAATTCAAAAATATAATTTGATAGAAAAGAAAAAAAAGTATATATTATATATTTGGAAAGTATATATTTGGTTCATTACATGGCAAGTTTAGGAGATTTGATATCAAATTTTACTTGTATAAAAAAAGCAACAAAAGTATCACATATTGCATAATATTGAAAAAGTTTTTTTTACAATTCAAAATCTGCAATTTATATTCTAACTGAAATACAAGTGTAGAATAAAATTTTTCTGAAATTAGGAACTGATTTTATTAATTATTAAAAAATAAAGTACATTCATTTATTTCATCTGGCTCTACACAAAATAATTAAATAAGTGTTGGAAATAAAATTTTAATTAAAACACAAAATTTAAGTACAACACGATTTTAATTTTTTTGAAATAAATAATTTACCTGAGTATATTTGATATCTGGCGTTTTACGCGTCATCTTCGTGGCTGTTTCCTTTGCGAATCTTAGCAAAACTCCGGTACTCAACTGTAAGAGAGCATTATATACACTGTCATGTTCTGATAACAGATAATCCTAATAATTATTTCTTTCAACAACAAGCTACTTTTAGAGTGGGGAATGCGCGTATCTTTTATTCTCATTTGAAGCCGATTAAATGAATATTTTAAGGTACAAAATAAGATGCGAAAGAAAAACATAACGTCGCAAAGTAAACGAATTATCTTTTACAACACTCACCTTTATAATATTTAAACTTTTAAAAATTGTGAAACATCATAAAGGAAACGATCAAATTCTTGATTCAACGTAGATACAAATATTCTATAACTGATTCGATACGAGGTTACAATTCATCTGAAGATTAATCTGTTATATCTATATGTATCGTACTATCTATATATAACAACAGAAGTTCTTCTGAATACATGCTTGTTCCTTCAAACAAACTGAATGTTATTTATATAATTTTCAAATACAAATTTAAAATTTAATTTATGTAAAGGTGTTTACAATTTGTATTTTATCTTTATTTGAAATTTATGTTTGACAATTATTCGTGTAATACCCAATACTGTTCCAACTAGTGTTTCAACAAAAAAATTTATTTAAAAAATCAGAAAACTGAAAATAGCTATAATCTGTCTTAGAGGTTCACAACATTATTTTTACTGATTTCTTTGTTCATGAAAGATAATTTTATGTTGTTACCATGGGTAGTTAAATCGATAAATTTGATACACAAATTATTATCAAATCATTCTGTTTCCAATTCACCAAAAATTCTGTGAAACTACTAGTACGTTCGTTCTTATCAACTATTCAGCAAATAACTTTTATTCTTATCAAGTAATCATTGTCAAGGGTATATTAAAGTACTGCCAGCGAAATGGCACAAGAAGTGGTCACTATTGGAGGCGGTGACGCGGTAATTTATTTGCTAAATAATTTGAACTTTTATTATTTGAAATTTCACAATCAATTTTTATACAGCAACCTGTACCATGCCCAATGATGGAAACCATGACTGATACAGCAGAGAAACCACCTCCATATTTACCTCAACCAGGAGATGAACTTCCGGCAAAAATGGATACGCAGATGGATGCAATCGGTCCATGGGCAACTGGTCGCGTAAAATATACTCCTCAAGATGGTATAACAGGTGTCAGACCCGTTTCCGACCGATATTCTATAACACACTTTGGAGGATCTCAGTGGAGAGCTAACAATATGAAATTTTTCCAACAATCAAACGAAAAAATTCGAGATGCACAGTGCGTAAATCCATTCTCAAAATCTTTACTTATGCACTATACTGTTTAAAACTGTTTGCTCATTATTAAACATTTCTGTAAAAGTGAGAGACTCTTCGGTTTAGTACAACTTCTGAAACTCTTCCAGGTTTCTCTTAGATTTTCCTTAGATTTCTTCTTTAGATTCTTGTAGAATCCTCCAGTCCCTTCCTGGATTATCTTTTGGCTCTTCCAACTCTTCTTTGAGGAATAGTGTAAATATACTTCCTTTTGTTTGATAAATAACTCAATGCGGTATATCGTTATAGACTGGCCATAAATAACGCGAAACGCTGCGTTGAACAATCATATAGAGAAGCGGATAAAACTCAATTAGAGACAACGGATCACCTCAAAACTCGAGCAGGTGTGGTGTATCGTTGGAAAGTTGACCTGGAACATTTATTAGATGATATCACCAAAGAAATAGAATTATTAGAGGGTGAACGTCGACGAGTTAAGCTATCCTTATCAGTTTTAACTGTTCCTGAATCTATCGCCGGGGAGTCTCTACAGCTGCGAACCAAACGAATGGAATCTGACCTTATTCGCGATGAAGTTGAAGAAGAACTTGTTAAAGTTAATAAATATTTGTTACATCTTCGCGCAATTGTTAAACTTTTGAAATTCATCAAACTTTACGTTTTAAAATCCACTTGATGCGCGATAATTAACATTTATTAATGAAATATTGTTACAGGAAGTAGCGCTGTGCTCAGAAATACGTGATTTGCTCGGCAAAACTCGAGACCAAATAGAAATGCAATTAACCGAGTTAAAGGCAGCAAAAGTTAGAATGGAAGTTGATTGGACCGATAAAACTGATGCTTACAATATTGAAACTGAATGTATCAGTTTAAAAAATGATTCTCCTCTTATATTATGGAAACTCGGGGCTACGAGATTTCCAGCAGAGTGCGTATCAAAATTAATACATTAAAAATCTCGGTTATCCTTCACACGATTGTGTGATCAGTTCGACCCAATCAGAAATATAATTGTGGAATAAAATTTTGCAGACAGTCGACGCCTTCAAGTTACGAACATTACACACGAGAGAGTTTAACCCAAGCAGAAACTGCTAAGCAGAGATCTATAAATTTAAGGAACACCTTGGGTGCCATATATAAAAATTCGATCAAGGATCTGCGGGAACAAGCAACACGGGTGGACATAGCTCTAGCTGACAAGATTAAACTTACGGAGGAAGTGTGTTATCAATTAGAGAAGGAATTACTTCGTGTAAGTTATTCTTCATAATCGCATTATCATAAAAGAAAAGGTTGCGAAACTTTAATATCGTAAATGATCCATGTATGTATAGGATCTTTAATTTCAAAGGTGAAACACATTGATTCATCTAATCTAGTGATATAAGAACAAAAGTGGGCGGCATACGCATACCCACACACATTCAACCATATACACAGAAAATAGCATACTTTTTTTACATTTCTCGATGTTTCGTGATCTTTTGAGTTGGAAAAATAAAAAAATAGGGAGGGTCAAATTTTGATTAATTATCGTGTTTTCCCTTTTTATCCACACACTGCAACGGACAGGAAAGTAAAAGGAAATTTTATTTTTCTAGTGCTTACATGAGCTCGCAAATACGGAAAAAGCAATAGACGAGCTTCGTCACTCGACACGAGGATTGGATTGCGCTATGAAAGTAGCGCAAACCCGATTAGCGAATAGATTACAACGACGTAACGTGGAAAGCTGCCGTGACACACCTCAATTCGCGTATGTAACATTTAGGTGTAACGTATTTAAGCTTGATGACTCTTGGCTAAGAGTAAGTGGAGAGGAAGAGGCCACCTTTCATTGGCCTTTAATTTTGGAGAAATTCTGGGAGAACCCTAAATGATGGGCCTAAATTTAATTTAAGTCTATCTGAAAAAATTCTAAGATCCCAGAAACCTTACTTCGTCCTTTTTGATAAGGCGAATGGGAGGATACCCCTTCCCCTACACTTGTTTTTAAATAAATGAAACTTAAGTTGCACATGACTGTACAAGTGTCACCCAAGTATCATATGAAAACGAAACGTATACAAAATATTTAATAAGATATATTTTAGCCTCGTAGAAGAAGTGAGAATGCTCAACGAGCGCACATCAGCTATGCTAGCAGAATTGAAACGAGCCGAGGAAACTCAAGCTGGCTTGGTTAAAGCAAGAGGCGATCTTGAGCGGGAAATAATCGTGAAACGTAAAACACTATACATAGATAGAGATCGTGGACAACGGATGCGTTCGTTTTATCCATCAGCTGTGGCTCTTTCTGGTTTTTAATCATTTTTCATGAAGGTATTATACGCGATACAAAAGTGGTATAAAGATAAGTATGAATGGTTTTATAAATATATTTTGGAAGTACATGATTGGTTCACGCAAAAATATATAATAATTTTATAGTGTTTTTCTTTTGATATTTTATACAAAAATGAAAAATATATGGCCTGGATAACTTTGGGGTTCCTTTTTATGATATTCCATGTATGTATAATTTAGTTAAGTGTTACACATTTATATTCAAAAAGATCTTAAAATTATACTTATTGCTTTAAAATTATTTACGAAGAAAGTACGTAATTATAGTTCATCGTGCGGTTGCAAGTAACCTTCTACGAAATCGTAAAGATCATCCAAGTTACGAGCACCATTATATTCAGCAACTTTAAGTCCATCACGATATAAATATAAAGTTGGAAAACCATCTACTTCTTGTTCATTGCACAGTTCTTTACTTGCATCAAGAGTACAGTCTACTTTTATTATTTTCACTTCTTCATTATCCTGAAACTTTTTCGCAAGATCTTCCCAAATTGGTGCTAGACGTTTACAGTGCCCGCACCAAGGTGCAAAGAATTTGACGAACGAAATGCCGTTTTCGATACCGTGTCTAAAACTCTCCCCGGTTAAGCTAAGTACTACAGTATAAGGTACACTATCTGAATTATCAGATTTAACAATAACTTGATCACTCTCTTTTCCAAGCATTTTTGATACATAGGCTTTCAACTCCTCATGAGATCGTTGTCCTGCATATTTGTCCACCTATAAATTTATAAACATTAATGTTATAATAGAATAAATTTAACAAAATATTTTAAGCTTTACCTTCTTTCCATCCTCTATCCAAAGCAACGTTGGATACCCTGTTATATCAAATTGTCCACAAACACTACGATGTTGAGTACAGTCCACTTTAGAAATGCTAACATAATTATTGTTACGGAAGCTATTAGCTAATTCCTCCCAAGTAGGTGCTAATTTTTTACAAAATCCACACCAAGGTGCATAAAACTTTACAAAGTGGTAACCAGTGGATACGTGCTTATCAAAAGTATCCTCTGTTAATTCCATTAAACCATTGACTGCTTCAGGAGGAGATGGTGCAACATCGCTGCTCTAATTTACAAAAATGAGAAATAATTAAAAATTGGTGAATTAGATACTAATATGCACTATAACAAGATCGATATTTACTCCAAGAGTGGTCCCTAACTGATCATTAAGAAAAGAAATTAGAGATGGTAAATCCCTGGTACCTCTGAACTTGGTACCTTTGGTTTCTCCAACTTTAAAAAATTTTAGCCTGTAACATTATTAATGTATTTATATATTTCACATTTTAAAGCAGTTTTATTTGATAATTTCAGGTTATACATACGTAGGATAACCAGTAACATCGTGCTCAGCACATAAAGAGCTATCAGTAGTACAATCTACTTTAGCAATTCTTATATTATTATCTTCCTCGTTTGATATTTCTGCTAACTGTTCCCATGTAGGTTCAAGTCTTTGACAATGGCCACACCTATCAAAAAATGAAATAGCTTTTGTATAAAAATTTGTATACTCTAAATGAAACAGTATAAAATATGTAAAACTATTTATTATTCTTAAGTAGTTTTATATATTGTATACATATTAATATATAAATATATATATGAAACATACCATGGTGCATAAAACATAACAAAGTGATTTTTCTTCTTAATTTCTGATGAAAAATTATCTTTGGAATATTGTATTGCCTGTATACTTTCTTCTTCTTGTTGACTACTAACTTGACTCAGCATAAATACAATTAAAAATAAATGCTTTTTTGACATAATAAAGTTTAATGAATTCGCAGTCATAATAAGTTAATGCTTTATTAAAGGGATGAATGTTTAAATGCAAATATTATATCACTGTCTGAGATGTAATCAACAATGCTTAAAAAAAGTTTAGCACTTCATTATAATAGATTGATCTTGAGGTTACAGTATTAAAATTCAAAATGTCTTCGCGCTATATTTGCAGGAAATTCAAATTGTACACTATTCTGATTAAAATACCGAATTACTATTCAAGTTACACTTAAAATTTTAAATTACTATTCAATACTTCTTTTAATCTTACACTACCTTCTAGCCTCCCACACAAATGGATCGAAACCACCGATTCCGCCCCCATATATATAAAACACCATATATAGCACTAGCGGCAACATTTTATCATGAAATTCCTATAATCTCGCAAATTATTTTTTACTTCTATCTATCGTAATTCATCGCTGAAAATTATTTCAATTCGCAATCTATTATTAATATTTGTTTACTTCATTTGTTTTGAAAAAAGTAAATTTATACATTCTATATATGGAATAATTAAACAATGTAAATACTTATTATTTGAAATAATCATGTAATTAATCATATTTTCATGATTATTTAAAATAAAATCAGGAGTGCGACATTTACTTGATCAACATTTAAATTTTATTTAACATTAACAATTTCAATCGGTAAGGTAGAGAACGATATAAAAATGCTATACAATTTTTATCAAGCTACCAGAACGTTTTCTCGCAAACATTTTTGTAAAAAATAATATTGTAAAATTTCAGCCAAATCGAAATAAAAATAATTTAAAAATAAAAAAATATGTTAACAAATTATAACGAAGTATAATAATTATATAAACGAAGTATAACTGCAATATATTAAGGCTTAAAAGTTAATAAAAACAATAAATTTATTAATAAATAAAAATAAATTATAAATTTTAATAATTATAAGAATAAAATAATTAATAAATAATTATAATAAAATAAATTATAACATTTACAAGTTTCAATCAAGGTAGTTGCACGGTCTGGTGCGTTACGTGACAATTGATTGGCTACCGTGGATCACCTATCACCGATCGGTTTGCACTTGAGAACGGTCACGGCGATCAGTTTTGTCTCAGCTGCCATAGAGGTCGGACCTACTCTGTTATCACTTACCGGTACGAGTCAAGGATTCAATTAACGGATTATGTGTTCATCTCTATGTTACCTAGTGTACTAGTGCAAGTGTTTAGTGTGTTTTATCAAGTGTTTTTTAATAAATATGGGGGTGTGTTAATACGATTTATGGTGTGGTTTCTCATGTGTCAAAGTGCTTACCGGGGTGTTTTAATTTATAATTGTGCATGCGTATACGGATACATTAGTGTGTTTTATAGTGTTATACAAGTGTTTTTTAATTATTTTTTAAATATTTTACTGGGTTTTATGGTGTTATTACCTACGTGTTTTTACAAATTTTTATGAACGTTTAGTGAGTTTTATGGTGTGGTTACTTACAGTTTTTGACATGCTTGTGCAAGTGCTTTAGTGTAATTTATAGCGTAGTTGTGCAAGTGTTTTACCGTTATTTTTCAAATATTTTACCGGGTTTTATGGTGTTACTACTTACATGTTTTTACAAATTTTTGTGAACGTTTTAATTTATAATTGTGCATGTGTATACGAATATATTAGCGTGTTTTACCATTATTTTTCAAATATTTTACTGGGTTTTGTGGTGTTGTTATACAAGTGTTTTACCGTTATTTTTCAAATATTTTACTGGTTTTGACATGCTTGTGCAAGTGCTTTAGTGTAATTTATAGCGTAGTTGTACAAGTGTTTTACCGTTATTTTTCAAATATTTTACTGGGTTTTATGGTGTTATTACTTACATGTTTTTCAAATTTTTATGAATGTTCAGTATGTTTTACGGTGTGGTTACCTACGTGTTCCGGCATATTTTTGCAAACGTTTTAACATATTCTATAAGTGTTTTGACATACATTTTCAAATGTTTTACAATATTTCACGATGTTACTATTGATAAACGTTTGCAAATTTATAGCCGAATTCTGTAATGTAGTTATTGTACTTCTGCATGTTAATCAAAATGCAAATCGATAAACACAGTTAATTAATGGTTGTGTTCCTCTTATGATTATAGAAGGCCAGACCAACTTCGTGGACAAACCGCCAAGTCCAAATCTGACGAAAGCAGCCAAGCAGTCAATCAACCAAGCAGCCAAGCAGTCAATCAACCAAGCAGCCAGTCAATCAGATGAGCTGCCTCTCAGATGCTCTACCGGTAAAATGATCGCAGTGATGCAAGTCAGCGATCGGTGAGTCGCATGCTTTACGATTCCTCCGGTTCCCATCATGTCGTAGGACGAATGGTCCGAAGCGACACGGGAACTGGTTGTATTTTATATTTTTGAGCGAGCATAGTGACCACGACTGTACGATCGTGCAAAATTCGTACAAACTGTTTATTATATTTATTAGATCAGGTCAGGGTTTTCTTGTACATCGCGTTTTAACTTCTTTACAAATAGAATTAAAATTAGTACATAGAAGTCGGATGACCCTCCGATTTCACAGTAGTTTTCGAGTCATTTTGATAAAGTTATCGAGTCACTTTCAATTTTTACGTACGCGTGAAAATTTTTTAAATAAATGTACAAGAAAGTATCGCGAGAAACAGATTTCGATATCAAAGTTATTTACGAATGTTTAAATCATTTAGAAATTTACTTTGATATTAGAAATCTGTTAAAAATGAAAGATAAATCTGTTAAGAATGAAACTACCGATATACTTAGATTTTTGCAAAGTGATCTTCCATTTTCCATTTTGAAAATTTTTTAAAGTTAGAGTCAATTTTTGTTGGAAGACACTTTATTAGCATGTTACTAATCATGTTTTTAGCTCAGGATTTTCAGCACACATGAAGAAAACTGGTAGGTCAAAATTATGTTGGCCGTGTTCATTTTTATGCTCTAAATTCATGCGCGTGCTTAG